AAATAAAAATAAATAAACCCATTGCCATTCAGTTGATTCAGACTCACAGCAACCCTCTAGGACACAGTAGATCTGCCCCATACGGTTTCTAAGGCTGCAAATCTTTACAGAAGTAGACTACCTAATCTTTTTCTCCTAGAGCAGCTGGTAGACTACCAACCCTCTGGTTAGCAGCCAAATGCTTTAACCACTGCACCACCAGAGTTCCATTGTTATTGTCAGTTGCTGTCGAGTTGGCTCCAACTCATAGTGACCCTGTGTACAACAGAATAGAACACTGTCCAGTTCTGCATCATCTTCACACTCCTTGCTGTGCTTGAGCCAATCAATTCAAGCTGTGTCAATCAGTCACATGAGGGTCATTCATTCCCTTTTATGTTGACCCTCTACTTTACCAAGCATGATAGCCTTCTCATTAGCCATTAGAGAGATGAAAATCAAAACAATGAGATATCATCTCACCTCACCATTATTGGTAAAGTTCAAAGAAACAGAAAACAACAAAGGTTCATGAGGGTGTGGAGAGATTGGAACCCCACATACACTGCTTTTAAGACTGTAAAATGTTGCAACAACTGTGGAAAATGGTATGACACCTCTCTAAAAAGCTGGAAATAGAAATACCATTATGATCCAGCAATTGTATTCCTAGGTATATGTGGTAGCTAAGTTTGTGTGTCAACTTCACTGGGCCTGGTTGAGTGGCTGGGCAGCTGGATGCAGTATTCCCCATGATGAGACTTGTAATCAGCTCCATGGTGGAATCTAAGGTGAGCAGCTGAGTAGCTGCAGGGATGTGGTTTGCTTCCTGTATATAAGGAGAAGCCTTTGGGAATGGTCTCTAGCTGATGGCACCTTGAACCCTGCATGTAGCTGTGTTGTTGTTCAGCACCCTGCCATGCTCTGATGACTTTGGGACTTTCAATGGACTTAAATTAATGGCCTGCCATGTGGTTTGGTAACATTGGGATTTTGCCTTTTTAATTGTCAACCTTGGGTTTGTCAGCCTCAGCAGCCAGCAGCTGAGTGAAGAAAAGCCTCTAGGTTCTTTGGGCTGGGAGCCGGAGGCAGAGCTGCAACCCAAAGTTGAGGGGCTTTCACCCAGCCTCTAAAGCCTGGCA